TGAGTGCGACCCGAAAAATAGTCCTAAACACCTTGGTAGCCATACGCCTAAAGCGACTCCTCGCTTGAATTTTATTTCATTTGGAATTTTATTTCTTTGTCAACCTGTATACCTAACATTTTCTCCGTGGTATCTCGGCGCTTGCATGTTGGCAAAAGTTGTAATATTGCAAAAAAAAACGGCTTGAAAGTGTGATTGCTTAAGCATGGAAAAAATTGTTTTAAGGCACAAATATTTGCATAACATTGGTTCAATAATCATTTGGCAATTATCGAGCTGCACTGAGGTATTTCAAGCCGTTTATTGTACGTTACTTTCACTTCACAGCTAAACATCTGCTAAATGATAAAAGGAGATTAATTGATATTTTCTAAATAGTGTTAAATCATTAAGTGTATTACGATTAGTGCCAGTTAAAATGATTTTGGTTCCCAAAAGCAGTCCCATGAATTTGATAGTAATGTCTCATTCGCGCAGCTTCATAAAGCCTTGCAGGATTCACAAAATTGTCCTTGTTGTCTTCAGAATCACCAAAGCAATGGCCGGTAAGAAGATAAGTAGGGAAAAAACAACCCTGCTACACCCTTATGCTAACAGTGAAAGGTGCAGACAAATCAACACTGAAACTGACTCTGTACGTAGTATCTTAATAACGACCCTGAATGAATTTGATGATTGTTTGCGAGATGCTTTACAGGCTGATCTCAGGATTTTCCTGAGTATTGCTTTGTCTACCATTTCGCACACTCTCTAGATATCAACTCAACCGGCAAGGTTTATTACTAGTCTACCGACTGTTTTCTAATTATGCGGAAGGTTGCTCATTTGACCGTGCGAGATCTGCCTGCACCCGTCCACAACTTTCCTGATCCTCTCCAGCAAATCCATGGTGCGTACTTCGCTTAGCAGAGTAAGGTCAGTAAGGAGCTGAATTCTCCTCCAATTATGGCAGTTACGATGATCCCCTTTCCTTTAACTTAGACGTTATTTACGAAAGACGATGGATTCTTGTCTTTTTATCGGTGTGCCATTGTTTTGGTTTTACTTTACTATGCTCAGTGATTGGCCGAGAAACTTCGCGCCAAATTGACAGTCTGTCACGTGGAAAAACTTCAACCAATCACGGCTTAGTCACTCGCGTTTTCTGATCAGTCGTTATCGACTAATACAATTTTGCTCTGACGACAACACACCACAAAATGCGTTGTAAATTTGAATGCCAAATAACATTTGCTGTTGAAAAGTCCAAGTGTAGCGCCCTAGAAAAACGAACACAATGACAGACAAGTTATTACGTAACCGTCTTTGTTCGTGGCTTTCGTTTTTGCTAAGCTTAGTTTTGCGTCCTCGTATCTCTTGTTACCTTTGTTGATTAGTCATATATTGTGAGCAAGACCTTCTCCGGATCCCATGAAGTATTAGTAACAGAGTGTTAGAGTGCCTTCCGAAGGATCTCGATATTACTTTAATTTTTTGGTGTTTCGTCCGACCATAAGACTGAAGACTGAACAATACT